AATTCTAATTATAATGAGATATACCCCCAGTATAGAGCACTACGGCCGACTTATACAAAAAGTAACAGAATATATATGCGAGAGGAAAATATATTCCAATATGTGGGGATAAATAAAATAGGAGAAATTTTCAACTTGCGGTTAGACGTGGGTGTTTGCGGTTCAACGTGGGTGCTTTGTTCACTCACTCGAATTGACTGCCGTGTTGGTCGGTGGTTCAAACCCTAGTCTGAACAATCGATTTTCACTTGCTATCGTCCAACCCGTGTTAGGAATCACACGTTAAAAGGTACCATCTCTTTAATCCTTAGCTCGCACAAGTTTCGACTTCTGAGGATTGTCGTTCATAGGGGTGCGTCACCTGGTTAACGGAAAAACAGATTTTAAACAGATTGCGAAATGGCTTGGAGAAGCTATGTAACTTTTCTGGCCAATGCAGGGGGCAACATTACATCCATGAAACATCACGCTGGCTGGAAATCTGCATCCGTATCACAAGCATATATAGAAGATAGTTTGAATAACAAAATTGAGATTTCTAACAAAATATTGAGTTGTCCATCTTCTTCCAAATAAATCAAAATAGGGTAGAAGTACCAGTAAATGAACGGTACCAGTGAATAACCGATTTCGAACAAATTCGCGATTATTAAGATTATGTCGCATCTATTCTAACTGACAGGCCTGGTCGCAAATGGTTTAAATTATTTTTGCAAAGACACCCAAAAATAACCATTCGAAATACTGAAATTATTTCTAAGTCTCGAGCAGCAGTAACTGAAGAAGCTATTAGAGGTTGGTTTCGGGAATTATATGAGTATTTGCAGGTTGAAAATTGCACAGATATACTAAATGAGCCAAGCAGAATTTTAAATGCGGATGAGACAGGTCTGCAGACTTGCCCTAAAAGTGCCAAGGTTTTGGGTCCCAAAAATTACCGAAATTTTTATGAAATTGCAAGTGGCCCGGAAAAAGAATCCATCACTGTACTTTGTACCTTCTCTGCGTCAGGTGCATCCATTCCTCCGATGATCATATACCCCTACAAACGCATTCCGAAAGATATAGCACAGAATATTCCTGAGAATTGGGGCATTGGACGTTCTGATAGTGGCTGGATGACCAGTGCAACATTTTATGAGTTTATTGCAAATATTTTTTCTCCATGGCTAGATGAACACAAAGTAAAACGTCCAATTTTATTATTACTGGATGGACACAAGTCGCACATAAATATGGAATTACACAATTATTGTGTACAAAATCAAATCATATTGTACTGTCTCTTGCCAAATGCCACTCATATACTTCAGCCATGTGATGTATCGGTTTTTAAATCGCTAAAAGTACAGTGGAAACTCGAGGTTCAAAAATATAAACAGGAAACTACTAAGTCTATAACAAAAAATACATTTGCCCCAATTTTCCATAGAGCTTACGAAGAGGCGATAAATCCAGAAATAATTAAAAATGGGTTCCGAAAGTGTGGTTTATATCCATTTAACGCTGCTGCTGTGAATTATTCTCAATGCATTTCCACCCGAAGACTAGAACTAGCAAACCACCTGTCCCAGGATGTATTTCTAGCAGTAGATGAATACAAAACTGCTCTAAAAGTTCTTAAATTCCACACAAATCCCAACCTCCTATCTGAGTTCGAAAATATCATGCGGGAACAAAAATCCACTGATAATTCTCCTTTATATGACTTTTGGAAAATTTGTCAGGAACGCAGTTGTAGTGGCGAGAAAACTATACAAAATGACCTCGTTGGGATTCCTGAAAATGATTCCGGAGCTATACAAATGCTAGAATTACCGACTCTAGAAGATTTATCAACCAACTACAATAATAATTGTATATATACAGCTGAAGAACTAATGAAATTTCCACTAGAAATCGATGGTTCCCTTTTTGAAATAAGTGAATTGGAAAATGAAAATACGAAGAGCAACAAAGTAGAATCAACGGTATCTGCCGAACTACTTAGCGAAACCAGTATCTGTATTTTAGAAGAAAGTCAAAAATACATTTATGAAGAATCAACAAATATGAGCACCGATATAGTTAACTCTATATTAGACGATATTATTGACGCCGTATTTGAAAATGTTCACGATGAAAACAATATTACTAATGAAGCCATAACTATCCAAGTGGATGATTCTAAGAATCAGAAAATAATAGTGCACAGTAATTTGAAAATTCCAGCAAATGTATGGTCTCAACATTTGCACTGGCCAAAAATCGAAAAAACACGAACGAAAAAAACTCCAACGGCACCTTTGCAATTACATCGAAGAAATGGAAAGAATATACACAGACAAAAGATGCTGAAAAAAAAGAGAAGGAAGACTCGATGCTGAAAAGGAAAGCCATGAGGGAGACTAAAAAGCAAGAGAAGGAAAAGGACAAATCGCAGTTTCCTAGAAAGAGGAAAACCATCCAAACTAATGTTCTACCTGAACAAAATGGTAAGCAATAGATTTCTATATATATAATATTGGCTACTTAAAATTAAATTTCTTACCATAGGTACTCATATAACACCGTCAATAACCAAAAAGAAAAAAACCAAGTCAGTGGAGACCAATGCGTCTAAAATAATAGGTGACAATTCGAAAGAAGTTGCGGAAAATGAGAAATATGTTTTACAAGAAATAGGTAAACAGGTATATTTATACCTCGTTTAGAGTTTGACTATCACTTTTTCAGGATCAACTAATATGAAAATGGGCATAAGAAAGAACAAGTTAACTGCCACCTTGACATCTGATGTGTCTACAACAGTAGAACATGATTATGGACAAATTTCCATAGGTTCTTATGTAATAGTCAGATACCAGAAGAAGTACTTTCCTGGCATTGTCACCAATATAGAAGACGATGAATATGAGGTTAAAGCTATGGCCCCACTTAGCCCCAATTTGTTCAAATGGCCGTTTCCTGAAGACCAAATTTGGTACAATAAAAATCAGATCATGGAAGCAATTTTACCACCGATTTTGAAAAAACTTGGATGCTATGAATGTCAAGATATTAACAAATATAACTAATCTTCATGCTATACTTATACTACATTGTATTTGTTCTTTGCAATATATGCCGGTTTATTGATTTTAATGCCATTCTCTTATTTTTCCAGAAATCTATTTACTTCGTTCATTCACTAGATCATGTGAGTTTTTTTACTGGGATTGGGCGTTCATTTACTAGGGATTCATGCATTAATTACATTTAATTTTCGATTTTGTTGCAGTACATTGCACTAACTGAAATTTAATAATAAAATTTGAAAATTGATTATTTCAGCATCACATAGAAAGTTAGTTGACGTAAATATTTATTATGATGTAATAATTATGATGATTTGAAAATTACCAATTCCTTAACCGTTCATTCACTGGTGCTTCTACCCTATAAGATAAAATTGTGGAATCAATTCTTCAAGAAATATCTAACGTTTCTTTCTGATCAGCAGTAACATGAAGCATCTTCGGAAATTTATGTTCGAGTAAGTGTACAAACTTTAGTATCAATTATTATTTCAACGAATTAAATTGTTTTATGATGGAAAATCAATTAACAATCGACCCTATTGAAAATAAATCTTTCAAAAAGTAATATTAAATGTTTATTTTGTGAATTATTTTTTCACGGTGAAAAAAGTAAACATGTACGCATCAATAGAGGTGCAGAAATGTCAAGATTTTTTGACAGTTGTAAAATGTCCGCCTCCTGCAAGTAAGCAAGCTTCAGCTCTCCTTCTCATTGTTTATATGACATTAATTTCGGACTTTGTCTTTTATCGAAGGATGGCAAGTTTTTATTTAATTTTCATTTTAGCTCGGCCAACTGAAGAAAACCATAGATCTCTTAGAGTTTCGTTTTTTGGAACACTGAAAAACTTTTTGTTTGGTATGGATGATTTGTTTTTACAACTAGGTATAAAACATATTTTAACCATTTTGGTGGTACTAATGGTAAAATTCAATCCAAAAGTAACCTGAAAAAATATTTTTCGGAATGTAAACTAATGACACGAAAAATGCAGCAAAATAGGCACCTGCCGAGACCTATCTTTTACAAAAAAAAAGTTTTTCAATCAGATATTTGTAACAGTTGTATTCACACCGAGTTGACAACAATAACAAAAATGGCGTTTGTCAAATTGGCAACTCCGCTCTAGACACGATCAATTTTATTGGTCAACAGACACGCGGCCAATTTAAATTCTTGCTTTTTGAATTGTTTTTTTTTTTGAAAATATAAAGAGATCTTGGGACCGATTAGGCTTGATAAGTATAATATACCCCTAACTCGATCAGTCTATAAGCAAACCAGTATCATTTTATATAGCCTGAAACAAGCCCATTCTGCTAACAAGAAGTTCAGTTTTATTGCACACTGTAAAGTTCATCGGAATCATGAATGACTTCAGAATGGCGAGACTCTAAAATGCAATGCATTAACGCACATTTTGGTATAATCATCACTTTCAATTACCAGTAGACAGATCTTTACTGGCATTTGTTCTGAAACAATCAAGTTCAAGGCCCATGTGAAAATGACGGTGTATATTCAGTTCACTTTTGTGGTAGAGAAAAGTCAGCATCAATGATCAAAGTGGGAAATGCAAATATGTAAACACGTCACTCACGTTGAACATGATCCTGCCGTTCCACTATCCGACACTGCCTATGTTCTCAGGTTCATTTTGTGGAAATTCAAGGACATGCAGGGCAAACTGAAGTGAGTGCTTACATTTTGTTACAGAGCTGATACCGATTTTTTAAAAAAAAAAAAAGCAATGAATTGAATTTTTGTTGATTTGGTGATTTTTTTATTATGTCGAAAAACTCGTAATCAAAATCGAAATTTCTCAGTACTGTCAAAGTCATTCTTGGCGTTCCTTTGGTATGTTGATATGCCGTTTGGATTAAAAAAAATCATCACTGAAATATTTGAAAGCATACAGTTTGTGTCACATCGAGTATCCATTAGAAGTTGGAGAAGTAGAAGTGAAGATATTAAAAAATATNACATAGAACTGAAAATTATTCTTAGTAACTGCTTTTCTATATCAGTGTGAGCATTGCGTCTGAGCATCTTTCGCTGGATTAGCAAAATCAGGTTTACAGTTGGAAATTGCCAACCTAAAATAATCCAATATATCAGCATCTGCCAAGCGAGAACGGTGTCTTTTTTTTTGTTTGTCAAATAGGAAAATGCCAACTCACATAAATATGTTGAAGAAAAATAAGAATGTAGTTGTTCAACACATTTCTTCAAATTTGAATATTTCTCGTTAGAAACCGATGCACAGAAATCAATTCCTCAGGAATATGTTTTTAAAAATATGTCGCAGCACAGTTTTTCAGTAACATCTGCTAAAAACGCAAAATCTCATAGCCAGTCTCAATCACGCAATTGCTGATACCTTATTATCACTCCTGCGTTGCGCGGTCTGTTCTACGCGTTTATATTTTTTGCCTGGCCACGATCGACTGGACTAATAGTCGCGATCGACCGGCTGGCCACTCCTGATATATACGGTCTCATTTTTCTGAAGATACTTTCGTTTTTTAGGAATAAAATGAACAAGATGAGTTTTCGTCGTCTGAAAAAAAGAATTTACACACAGTCGATCACTGGGTATAACATATATCATTCTGGCAGGTGTAAAAAGAAGTGGATTTTTGATTGTACGAATTTTTTAAATATTATAAATTTCATATTGACATATGTCAGATGTATTACTATGAACCAGTGTGAAGTTGGGTGCCATTTTTCAGCAGTCATTGCGATTCCAGCACCCAAATTACAAGTGGCGTCGGTGAAAAAATAGTATCTTACAATATAGATTTGGAAGATGTATTGCTATGAACCAGTGAGAAGTTGGGTGCCATTTTTCAGCAGTCATTTCGATTCCAGCAGCCAAATTACAAGTGGCATCGGTGAAAAAATAGTATCTTACAACATAGATTTGGCAGATGTAGTGGTATGAATCAGTGTGAAGTTGGGTGTCACTTTTCAGCAGTCATTTCGATTCCAGCAGACAAATTACAAGTGGCGTCGGTGAAAAAATATTATCTTACAACATAGACATGGCACATGTATTGCTATGAACCAGTGTGAAGTTGGATGCCATTTTACAGCAGTCATTTCGATTCCAGCAGCCAAATTACATTTCACTAGTTCGGACTTCCATTGTCTACTATATTTCAGTGCCACTTTCTAAGTGATTTCTGCAGCATCAGAGGACAACCCAAATATTAATTTGGTGCAACGATATCTGCAGACAAATTATCCTCATCATCTCGTGCTAGTCAGAGAAACCAAGCTGAAATAAGTCCCGTCAATTTTCTTTACCCAAGCTACAACTTCCATTTTTAATTTATATATAACGTTTTAATTTCTCTTTATACCAGCAGTGACCTTTTGCCAACAAGAGAAAACACCAGAATCTCAAAATTGTAATCATGTCACATAAAATAACTAGATGTATTCTTGGGTCTATCAATCTCGAAGCAACACACCATAAAAAGCATTGAATTTCATCAGTTCGGACTACCATTCTCCAATATGATATAATAGCTAAAAATAACAATTATATTGAGCAAAAAAACCCTCTACTGAAATTACAATTAATGAAAATTCAAGCAAGAAATTGAAAATTGAACAAATAAAATGAACTTTAAATTAAAAGATGTCAAGCCAAGTTACTTCACGATGTTTCGATTGTTAGTATCCACAATCGTCTTCGGGTGATGACCCGAAGACCCATCACCCGAAGACAATCGTGGATACTAACAATCGAAACGTTGTGAAGTAACTTGGCTCTTGAAATCTTTCAATTTTTAGTTCTTTTTTATTGTTCACTTTTTAATTTCTTGCTCAATTTTTATTTAATTGTAATTTCAGTACAGGGTTTTTTCACTTAATATAATTATTATTTTCAGCCATTCATCTTAATTTTCAATTTTATCCTTTGAGGAATTTCAAACCATATTATATCATATTAGACAATAGAAGTCCGAACTAATGAAATTCGTCATGAAACATTGTCAACCATCTTCATATAGAGAATTATTTTCTTCACTTGCAAACACCATTAATTCAAATTGAAGAAGAACCGACAAGGTTTTCTGACAGAAATGAAAAATTTGCTTATCCTAACAAGCGTTTCCCAATTTTCACAATCACCTTAAAGTATTCATTGGTGCTATACCACAACTACATTTCAGTTTGAGAAAGTATTGAAAAATAAGTCCAAATTCCACATCTTTGACAACTTGTTTATTTTGTGGAAATTCATGTTCACTGAGGATACATTACAAAAACACACTTTTGTCTATTTTCCATGATATTTCTTTATTGTTGACTAATTTCGGCTATTACACTATTTTCAAAACTAACTGATTAAATTTGAATCTGAGTAATTTATACCTAAGTTGCCTATCCTATCATAAATAATTTGGTACCTACATTTTGTATACCTCAATATCAGTCCATTAACCTACTGTGTTGGGAGTTGAGACTGGCCTGAACGAATTGTTCTTAGATAATTTGATTTATAGCCAGTCTTCAAGTATGCCCACTGACTATATGTGAAAGTTTTGTATACCTGTAATATCCATGAACATAACAAAAGAAAGCTTTTGATATAATGTAGGTTTTGGGAACTGGATTATAGATTCAGAAGAGGACTATTATTTAGATCAAGTTGTTCNAACAAAAATTCATATGCACTAGCTCAACATTCTATTGAAACAAGGTACAGAATTACATTTGATCAAGCAAAAGTTTTATATTCAGAAAAAAATGTCTAAAAGGCTTTTTCACGTAATGGTCCTTATTAACAAAAATCCCAATGAAATGAACAAACAAACATTGAAAATCTGAGTATAATTTACAGTTACTTACTAGACATAGATGAATCTCGGTAATATTCTCAATTTGAAATAATCATCACACGTTGTATAAAATTCATTCAATGATCAT